GGCCGAGAAAATTGTGTTCAACATTGAGGCCCGACTTAATGGCATACCGGCCCGTAATGAGAAGAATCTACCGAAAGGCGTTCCCCTGTCGGTCGAGGGTCAGGTCGACTCCATTATCAAAGTATTTGAATGAGTGGTGTGTTTGAGATCATTGTTTAAATGTATTGTTTTTTCTGTGTTTACAGGAAGCGACGGATGTTAACAATTTGGGGGTTATGTACGTCGGGTGGACGGCATACTTATAGGACAGACATATCATTGTTTCGTATTTATTTGATCAAATTGCGTTCAAATATTTTGTATTTAATGAATTAGTTGTTTAAATGATTTTTCTACGACTTTCTCAATAATTTTGTGACCATTTGTGCCATTTTTCTATTCAGAGTTTATAAGTGATAATCGTTTTGTAATTAAGACAATAAATGTTTTATGAATTACCTGTAAATATACGATTCAATCATTTCGATGACAACTTACTATTTTATCTTAAAATGCAATATATTTATGACAAATAAGAGTCAATATTATGAGTGAATAACAGTTGTTAAGAGGACTGGAGATAACAATTAATATGAACGTTATATTATAATTAGACTTCCACTATTTAGCTATTAAATATTAAATAATCTAGGTACTATTCCTCGTATGATATACTGTACGTATTAGTGTGATTGCGATGTGCTATTGCAATCAATTAAATATACAATATCTACTGTATATACGACGAGAAAGCACTTCATTTAACTCAGGCTTAGAGTGTGATTATTAGCAGTTAAAGACCACATTTAATTGTATTTAGAAATTCAATACTGATTTGTGTTTTTCAGTTAGTGTTCATCATTTCAATAATCAAGTAACAATAATCAAAAGTGTTCAATAAAAAGTATCTCTCAAAACGTTTTTTCAACTCAATTCGTCAATTTCATTATTTATATAATGTGAACGTTTTAAAGTATTCATACGAAAAGTTATCTATCAGAAAATGAATTTAAATAGTTTTCAAAGCACAAGAATATTCATATCATTCATATTCACAGTCATATTATTCTCATCCATAAGTAAATCCCAGGATCTAAATCATGGGCCGGTGCGCTCAGGACAGGGTATGTATGACTTTAGCATTAAATCCCATTTTGTGGATTAATATTCAATTGTTTAATCCATTAGTAATTTGTAGTATCCATTCATAACTCGCGATAACTTTTTAACTGTAAATAAGTTATCCATTGAAGTGAACAGTTGTTTGCTTTTCTCGTACTCCATATCCCAATACCTGTACAAAACATAGGCTTACTTTTTCATTTTAACTATAAATCTTTGATTGGATTAAACTTTTACTATATATATGTTATGTTTTTGTATAATTAATTTTTTATTGACTGATTATAGCGCCTATATTTATACCGGGAAATGCGAGACCAGTGGCACGGGTCGGCCCCCAAATACTGGGCGATATGATTCAGTTCCGACAGGAGCTCATGTACCCGTACAACCTGAGCGACTTCACGGAGATTACATCAGCCAAACCCCTACACGACCAGCCCCTGCCATTCCGACTGCCATTCTTTGGCTTCTGGTATAACATAAGCAGAAGTGAGAAACATAAGCATAATGTATAGAAAATTAGGAAAAACTTTAATAGCAATTAGAGTTAGACATTGAATACCTACAGAGCGTCCACTCATTGCTCCTAAACTTGAATCCCACATAAAATGAGCCAAATATTGAACGCAATCATTGTTTTGATGGTTGAGTTCATTATCACAGAAACAAAGCTTTTCACAAATTTGCTAATTCTTGGGATTAAGCATATCGTTGACTCCAATGCACGCAATTATATCGTAACACGAGTTTTCAATTACATAATTCATTCACAGATCCAAAGGGACGGCTACCTGGCCTTCAATAAGGGTTTACTGTCGTACAAGTTTCCCGTGAAGTTCCCGTTCGTACCCAATGATAACTTCATGGAGGAGGACCCCTCGATGATCGCCCCCTGGTTTGCACAGCAGGACATACCTACGGAAGTGCCGCACGCGGGCGTCTACTTAAAGATCGTAAACCTCGAGTCAGAGCTCAATATCACGTTAAGAGATCGCATATACTATGACTTCCGGGAGGGTATGATCGGTGCCTTCGATTTCAAGCCCAAGTTTGCACTGATAATCACATGGCGGAACATGACCATGGTCAATAGGCGACCTGAGATGCCACTTGTGGTGCGTATTGAGTAGTACCCTGACTCATTACGAGTTCGTGGAACTGTAGAAAAGTTTTCTAACTTTGTATAATTCTAGACAAACACATACCAGTGCATGTTGGCCACGGATGAGATCCGGACGTACGCTATGTTTAATTACGAACAAATCCAGTGGATTACCCATCAGGACAACTACGAGGGTCTCAAGGGGTCGGCAGCTTATGTAAGTCCCGGTGTTAAGAAGTTCACCCATAAATCCTAATTAAGGGTTATATAATAAATGCATTTATAATTATAGGTGGGTTTCAACGCTGGCAACACTACCCGTACCTATGAGTTCAGGCCGTACTCGCAAAACCGTCGCATATTATACCTGACCACCCGGGGCTGGGGTAACGGTCTAAGAGGGCGTTATTTTTTCCAGATCAACGAGGTGTGGCCGGGCGCCTGTATCGAGAAGGACTTGGACCGTAACTTACCCGATCGACTACCCCTTACATTTTTCCCGCGTGTAGGCGCTATGTTAGGCGGCACCCTGGTCAACTTCACCGGCCCCTGTCTACAGCCCACGAGTATAATAACGTGTAAATTTGAGAACTGGCAAACACCAGGCATATACAGGGACTTCAATCACGCGACCTGTAGCACACCCCCTGTAATGTACCATTGTTATGTCGACTTGACCATCACCGTAGATCATTCATTCTCATAGTATAACACAGGGTGTCATTTGCCTATGTTTTAACATTAGTAAATGACACTATTTGTCACTTTTGAGACTCAATGCCGTAGATGATAGAACCCTGTTCCTGGGCAGATATTACAAACGTATGGCGTTTTTTGGGTTATTTCTATAGGAATTTTGACTAACATTGTATACTACCTGTGCCACAGAGCCCCCGGACATCGCCGACGACGACATCGTGGTCTTAGAAAACGCCGACCGACTGGAAGAGCCGCTGAGTCTGGATATCAAGTGGAAGATG